GTGAGAATCGTCACGTGATCTCGATGACGCAACAATATATTAAACACTGGTGATACTGTATTTGATATATTCTTATTTGGTAACATTAATTATAATTAGGCTCATCAAATATAGTTAAAAAAGTAAAATCGGATAATTAAGAAAATGTTTTGTAACTTAAATTTACATAAGGCTTCAACTCATACATCTTATGTTATCAGTTTTGTTAAAACTAACGCCGTGATGCTGTAAACGTTATTTAAGGGCTTAAACACTGAAAGCTGGTGAAGCATTAGAAACTATTAGGCCTAAAATTCCTGATAAAAATAACGTTAACAGCAGATTTTCTCCCCACATTCCTTTTCATTTATCCATTGCGGATTCAAAAACAGAAGCTTGTAAAAATAGCATATTCGACTCTTATTTTGTAACTCCCACAAGTCACTGCCCTAGAGATTTTTAATTCAATACCAGAAAAATAAATATGCAGTTTGTATGATTTTTATCACAAATTTTAGACCTGTTATTTTTCTAATGTTTTTCAAGCGTTTAACGTTTAAACTGTAACTTTGTAAATTGCAGCAAAAACACAAACAATTTAAGTTTATCAAATTTGTTTGTTTGTAAAGAACTGTAAGTCACATATTAAAGTAAAAATACTGATTATATTTGTTCGTTACTGATAACTTACCAATTACCAATGAGTAACGTATTCTTTATTCAGAAACTAACAATAAATATAATAGGTTAGTGAAGAATAAAGTAACAACTAGCTATTTGAAAATAAATATTATTATAATTACTCGTTAGAGAAAAGGTATGAGCACAATATTGAAATTCTAGCGATAGCAACAAATATTTCTATACATTTTGTTAATGAGAATTTAAGAGTGACAGCAGTTACTTCTATAAATAATATATAATTAAACTTACACGTTTCGATTACTCAAAAATATTCACAAGTATACCATTTTAGGCCTATCACTAAAGATGATATGTAAAACATATCAAAGACGCGTTGAACAATTATCTTTTACAATGTTCGTTGTTATTACAAAACTAAACGTTTATTTTAGAACCTCCAAAATGACCATCTAAAACAGTTATTGTGTATTTTAATTATATTTCATGTATGAAATTCATTTATGTACTTGTTGTTAATATTAGTTCATAAAAAACTCTCTTTAAATATTTATTTATTACATAATGATAAAATGTAAAAACCACAACTTAAATACAAACAGTACCTGCTTTCGTAATGTGCTGCAAGAGGACACAAACCAGAAGTAGATGTTCAAATAGAATTCTTCTAAGCATGGTTCAGAACTGAGTCTTGAGACCTTTACTTAAGACCGAAAATGTATTGTATGTTTTGACTCCACTCTTTGTGTATGCTTCAGCCAATAAAACAACAGAAATGGAAATATATGTGAACAGAGGTTATCATATCACCCTGACCAAACCTCTTCAGTAACACAGTAACTGATACGAAGCATGGGAGTTTTTATCAAACTATTGAATATGTTGACTCACAAAATATCCGTTCTGTTACTTCGTAGTTATTTATTGAAATACCTTAAAGATTAGCTATCAGTTGTAGTTTGCTGAAGGATATTAAATATTAGAAGTATGAAACAGAATTTAAGGTTAACTTTTGTTTGAAAGAATTGAAGTTGATCTTTCTCTTATATAAGTTATGCGAACATTCTCTTCTGATATAAAAAAAAGTCATTCGTAGCTGTAGATGCCGAAAATAAAGTAGCTTATTTATCATACATCGTAAAGAGAAAACAAGTTTTAACGATTATCACTTTCAAAATCAACAAAGCTTATATTCATCCCATCCCATATCAATAAAAAAAATTGGAACCACGCGTTCCAATCTATTTGTATAAAAAAAATGTTTTACCACATAGATCTCACTACAAATCTATGGAAAAACTGGTTTAGCACACACGCTATCACTTATATCTATAAAAAAAATGGGTTTACCATACACGTTCCGCTCTATATGGACAAAAAATGGGCTCAAATCACGCACACATTTCATCATCTATCTACATAAAAATTTATTTACCACACATATTCTCCAGCCATATCTGTAAGTAAATGGGTTCATCATATATATTCCATCCTATGTCTATAAAATTGGGTCCATCACACATAGTCAGAGCAATGTCTATAAAAAAAAATGATTCGTCGAGCACATTCTACCCAATACTTATAGAAAAATAGGTTTGATACACATGTTTCACCCTATATCTACAAATACAACTTGTTTATCACACACACACATTTCAATTTATATCTATAAAAATGGGTTCACCATACATATTTCACTTCTCTATATAAAAATTAGTTCACCTCCTATCTAGAGTAAAATTAGTTCACTAAAACATGGGCTATCTACTTTCTGTCCACAGAAGGGAACTAAACATCTGATTTTAGCGTTGTAAACTTACTACTGACATGCTGGGAACGGTATTTGAAGAGAGATTAGCGTTTACGTGAATCTATTAATTTAAGCCAGTTTTGTTAGAAACAAAATATGTCTTCCTGCACTAAATGGAAAAATGAAGTATTGGTGTTATCCAAATAACACAAATGGACACATTCCGAAAAATGTCCAGGTTTGTATAATTTCATTTTAACGAACCCATTTGTTTTATTGTTAAGCGCGATGTTTCACAGTAGGTTATCTGCGCTGTGCTTACTGCAGAGATCGAATACTGGATTTTAGGGTTATAAGCCTTCAAACTTATCGCTGAGTTACAGGGGAGAGGTTTAATATAGGCAGTTTCGTAGAATCATATACAAGTACTCATTTAGAGATTTAGAAAAAAAAAACATTTACGTAGAAAAATGAATAGTGCATTCTGATAACCAAGTTGGTAGATATATAGAAAGACTGATATAAATGAAATACTTGGAAATGATGATAACGAAGTTAAAAAAAAATGATGCATTTATTTTGTTTTGTGATATAACATAATCTCAAAATAAATCATGTGATTTTGTACATTGTACATTTTCTTTAGATTAATAGATTGAACAATGAAACACTAGATTATAACAGCATGAACTATTTAAAGTAACTTTCTTAGATTGGTGAACTTTAACCTGTGAACTCCATTAACAAATGGTTTTATAATTTCGGCTCTACTTGCTTGACAGTTATTTCCAAGGTGTAATAGTGCTTAAGCAGGGTAGCTGAATTTGTAAAGATTATCTAATAAATATATTAATGTCCTGTTTCTCTAAATATGAATCAAAAGTTTCATTCTTTTTCTTTTGTTAATCTAACAAAAAATTTAACAGTCGTATTTAATGTTATATTACAAGTTACAGTTTTTACAGTAAGTAAGATTTGTACTTAGAACAGGTACGACGTTTCGATCACCGGTGCGATCATTCTCAAGTTTTAATAGTAAAGAACGTTTTAGTATTTAAATCAACATTCAGCGATATAAGAAATTATTTAAACTGATTGTGGTTAGTTAATTCACGTGAACTGACAGATTTATTTATGGCTAAACAGAAAAACAACCAAGAGCGAATTAATATTAAAAAAACTATGGGTTCTCTTATACAAAATGTTTGCTTAAGATTAGAAATGTGTGTGTGGGTAAATAACGATCAAAGACATATAGAGATGTGCCTGAATATTTGTTAACTGTAGGATTGTTTGATTTTATTAAATAAACTTCTCTGATATTTCTTTTATTAATATCAAGTTCATGTTTTATTACTGTGACATTCTGTTCAGAAAAACTGTGTTTGTTTTTATTCCTATGCTCATGGACTTGGGAAAGGGGTTTTTGGTGTTCTTTTAACCCGATCGTCATGTTACGTCCTGTTTCACCTATGTAAAAGGCTGGACAGTTTTTACACTTTATTTTGTACATGTTTCCTGGTAGGGTGGTTTCGTCATACAGTTTATTAAGCTGTAACTTGTCGTATAGTATAATTAATCAGTAAGTAAACTCAAAACGAAACTGTTAATCGTATTTAACGCTTGACTAACTTTGGCGTGAATATTTCCTTCAAACTTCACCAGATTCTTGTATGCAAGCATAATTAGAATATTGTGATAAAAACACCATAAGTCAAAGACGTCTTTCCTACTTTATGAGTTATTGAATTAAAAATAATATATCATACCTTCGATATACTTTGTTATCAATCTGAATATGCTAAAAAATAGCTAGTCTGTTCTACACTATATCTGGTAAGTTGTTTTTAAAACCCTATTTAGATACGCAGTAGCTGACTATTTAGTATGCAGGCATACCGTTTGTTTTCTACCTTCTTATTTTAATGTAGAACTTTTAATTGTTTTTTATTTTTTATTCTTAGTATGTACGGTTTTCACGTGAATATGAAACCCGTTAAACTGATTTTATTGTAGCTACCTTTGTTATTCTCTTGAGATATCACCTGGTCTGCCCATGGTGGGTATAGTTGTAAAGCTGCACCTTGTGCATGAAAGATGACGGCAGTTTACTCCAATTGTAGGTAATATGATTTCACAAGGTTAAAACTTCCCTTATGTTTGAACGATAATGACCAGTTACGTGTGCTAGTTGCTTTGGATAAGTCTAATGTTACCGATTCAACTAAGTAAGATGAGAACATCGTCTTGTGTGAGACTGGAAATAAATCTTGAGGGAACCTAGCCAGAGTGATCAACTTACAATTTAAGTAAAGGCGACCGTCCGTTGTCTATAAGGTGAAGTACATACACTTTTGCTTTGTTTTTTGATAAATATTATTTCACTGTGTATTACAAAATCGGCCAGTCCAGGAAAATTTAGAACTACTTCGCATTGCATCATGCCGAACGTTCTGTTATATAAGTGAAAGTAAAGAATAATGTAAAACATATGTCAATCACACACTATTTGCTACATCCATAGCCGATGAGTCCTCTCGCTTATTACCAAGGCTCATCAGACTGGTTGGGGTATGATAGACAAAGTAGTGATGGAATCGTCAAAGCGTTATCTATATAACCAGTTTCTTGAACAACAATATTTTGGTGTGAACTAAATTAAGTTAATTAACCGTAATTATTTCTAACATATTTAAATCACTTCACATTAGAACTGAGTTTATGATTTTTATCAACATCAATATATTTATTTATTTTAACACCAGATTGCTTAACTATAGTGGCAATAACGTAACTTCGATTTTTTTGGCCCCCCGCAAAACTTATAAAGCCCCCCCCCCAAAAAAAAAATTACGCACAAAATATAATTGCTATATTGTCTAGCTTTCGTCGGACCCCCACAATGCGTTTTCTGTTGCACGGTAGTTACGCCACTGTATAGCGGACATCACTAAGATACTTTTTGGGAAATCGGTTTTAACTGAAAATAACACAATAATTCCGAGAAAAAGAAGTTCTTAAGCCTACAGAATAGGACTGGAGATTTAAATAAAATTCATCTTATATCATTGTAAATGTTATTGATCAGGTGAAGGTTGAGATTTCTATCAAGTTGTAAAAAAAAAAACGCAACTGATGTTCAGAGCTTTACCCTATAGTCTTTATTACAAAAAAGTTTGAATAAATATAAAGCTTCAATTGTAGACTGAATTATTCAAATGTGTTGTCAAGTAAAAAATACATTTCGTGCAAGAATTCGCTTATTGTAAAACAACGGTATTTTTTTTGAGTAATATTGTCATAGAAAAGTGTTTACTATCGTAAAGCATTAATTTACCAGAATTGTTAAAAAAATTTGGAATCGTTGATGAAAGACTCTTTTTAATTTTATAAAGAATAAAATGAATGTAAAATTAAAAGTTTCTACTTTTTTTGACTCAAGGTGTTTTCTTTTAATTCTTTCTTTACATTCAATGGAATTATCGGTAAAAATGAATATCAGTTCTTTCATTGATAAAACTACGTTATTTGTTTAAACGCTCTTTAATGTTTTTCATATTCAATATTTAAAGCAGGGAATATTCAATCATGCAATATATAAACTTGTAATGTTTTTTTTCAAAGAAATCCTAGTTTACGCAAAAATACGAACATTATTTCAGGGTAATTACTATTATATAGACCTCAACCCTAAGAGATGTATCAATTATGTTATTTTATTTGGTTATAAACGTTTTCTTATCATTTCTAAACATTGTTACACTCTGAAAAGAAGTTTTTTCATTAAAAATAAAGCATACTACCTGGATTTAAATATCAACATCATTAATAAAACTTTCAAAACTGGTAAAAAACAAACACTTTTAATTTGAAGTTACAAATTATATTTTCCAATAAGTTATGATACAGTATTTACAATTAACAATTTATTTTATACAATAGAATTTCTTCAATATTGCATTATTCTGTGGACAGAGATCA